ATAAAATTTCAAATTTATGTATATTCCTTTCAAGAAGTAATTGCCAGTTTGGAAACACAGTGAGAATAGATAGACCATAATTTAACAAGATAACATTTCAGATGAGTGACAGAAGTTTAAATGTGTTGGAAAAAGGAAAAAGCAAAGAACAAACAGCAAGTAAGAGAATCAGAAAGAGACAAAAAACAAAGATGGAAGAAAAGCAGAACTTAAGGAACAAAGAAAGAGAGGGAAGGATAGAGGAAGAAAAGAGGGAAATAAAATTTTAGAGAAAAATATGTATACCAGGGGTGAAGTCAGTGAATGTATTTTGGATCCTCATATTTGAATTCCTATAAGAAATAAAATAATATAAATACCATATCTAAAATAATATATACCTAAATTATTTATACTATGTAAATATTGAACAATTTACATACACATTTTTCTCAAGTAAAAACATAAGTGAAATTTTTAAACTATTTTTTAAGAACAGTATTGCTTTGTTTTAGAAGTTCACTATATAAACAAAAAGTTCTCCTGACTGACATCTTATTAAAAACATTCTGCACTTGCATATTCATTTACATACATACATCTCTTATGACTGCAAGATCATTTTTGAGATAATGCTTATTTTGCTATAAATTCATTTCAGATGTCAAACTATATGCAATCTTCTTCATTTATTACTCTGCTTCATTTATCTCCATTATTTTTAATGTTAACCATTCAAAGGAAAATTGTTTCCTCTGTTTCTATTTATGTTACGTTATATTGTTATGCCCTATAATATCACATTGTATCAATTATGTACTTTTAAGTAAAATCTAGTTTAAATTAGGCACATTTCTAAGGATTAAAAATTTAAGTGTGAACAAAAAATAAAACACTATTATGCAAAAATATATATAGTTATTATGTTTTAAATCTTCCCATCAATTCATCCTTATATGGGTCAGAGTCATTTAGCCTTTCAAATAACTAACATTCCATGTCAAGATGTGAATAGTCATGTAAGAAATTGTGAAAACATCATTTAGAGCATTTAATTATAAAACATGAAGAACTGATTTTAATGCTGACATAATAGAAAAACAAAACTTATAAATTTATTACAGTTGATACCAGATTTTATCAATATACCAGATATAGAGAGAAAGAGAATTCCAGATAAATATCAGTTTGGGGGAAAAAGAAAAAATCTATTTCCTGTATAAAGAAACACCAGCATATTCATTGTGACTTTAAAGAGAACTTGTATTCAGAAATGCTGTCAGTGATAGTGTCTCTTACATTATGCATTGCTAAATTCATATGTCAACAAGTTTCAAAACACTAGTAGAACAGTTGTTAATTTTTTTTTATTTTACAATTTCAGTTTTGCTTTGAATGGTCTTATTTCCAAAACACATGCTCCTCTTTGACATTTAAATGTCTTAGAATGAGCTCAAAACTTGTCCTATGATTTTTTTTTCTATTGCTGAGTGGGAGGAAACATCCGAATTTTGTAAAAATATATGACTGAGCATGGTTCAGCACCTAAGAAAAGCATGTCATGATTTAGTCAAATGCAGTACATATTAGAAAATCATATTCTTTTAAGTTCATGCTTTAAGAACTCCAGGGAAATTGTAAAAAACTGTAAACATAGTCTATCAATGAAACCTGAAAAATTAAAATCTACTTGTCTAAGTGTTATATTTATTAGTAAATGATGTTATAAGATAAAAGCAGTAAAGGACCATATTACAGTATTCTCTAATAATTATCATATAGAAGAAGATAGGAATAAGAAAACCCCAATCATTATCATTATCAAATGCAACATTCTCCAATTTTTCTTTTAGCTGCAAATCTTTCAAATCCTGTTCAAAACATATGCAATTTCTGTTAGTCGCTTCATCCTGGGAAGCTTGATATATCAATTTTCAATACTGGGCGTACTTAGCTAAACAATGATACATATCTCTACACGAGTTCACTCACTGCACATTAAAAGGCCATTTCATGTTCACGTGTATCTGTTCACAGCACTGTCTTTCCCTTTAGGAGAACAAAATCCACACTTCTGTGTGGAGAAGTGGAACCTTACTTTAAGAGGATGATGACTTGA